TCTGATTTGCTGTGTTTTCACGGAGCTGAGGCTGGCTAGGCTTGGGAGGACCCCATACGTAGTCAGTCCAGACTGTGTGGCTGGATCAGATCTCTTTGATCTTTTCTTTTTTTTGCTGTTTTGACTGCTCTCCAGTCCAAATGAATTGTCGCTCCGGCTAGGAGTTCTACCTTCTCTTCTGAATGATTTCAAGCTGTTTCTTTCATTGGGTTCTTTAATGCCTGCGTCTACACGGTCGCAAACGAGAGAGAGAGAGAGAAGAGAGAAGTTATTGAGTGTTGTTTTCGAGGGAGTGAGGAGAGGGAAGAGGAGCGTTCGTCACAAAGCTGAGAGGAAGTACGGACCCCTCTTGAGAGTCTTACTGACACCCTCATCCTCCATCATGGCATCTGCAGCAGATTGGAAACTGCAGATGGACGCTGCCCCTGAGGCAGAAAAACCGCAATATCAGTTCTTCTACGAGAAAGCCTTGAAGAGGGAGGAGGAAGAGAAAGAGAGAGAGAGAAGGGATAAGGTGCAGGCTCATGAGGCCGTCCTTAGCACCGTGTCCGCTCTGACTGATGAGGAGGTAGAAGAGAAAACAGTTCCTCTCCTCAAAGCCTTAGCAGGGGTCCGGGTTGCTGAGGACCATACTGGCCAACTCGCACAGGTGTTTAAGCAGCTCAAGGAGTTGCGCGAAGACATGGCCAAGATGGCGCAGCAGCGCCGCGATCAGCTGCAACAGTTTGCTAGTTCGCATCAGGCTCAAATCGTCTCTTCACTCACCTACCCTGCCTCCAATGCTGCGTGTCAGTCCAGTTTTGCCCCTCTGACTACGTCTACTTCTTCTCCTTCTACTTCTTCTTCTTCTTTGAGTGTGGTTAACAGCCAAAGCGGATCTGCAGCAAGTCCAGACCCCGCTGCTGCTGCTGCTGCAGCGGCAAGCGGTGGTGCAGGGACTTCTGGGACTGTTGCAGCCCCGGGCCCGGACCCAGCAATGGCTGGGCAAGGCGGCAGCTTTGCTTACATCGACAGGAAGGCGGCGCAGATTCCGTCCAAGTATGACGGAACGGACGACGTCGAGTCTTGGATCAGCTCCATGCGATCCTACTTTGATGTATTGGGGACACCCCCGTCCACTCAGTCGTCTATCCTGGGGACCAATGTGGAGCCCATCGTGAGGGGTTTCCTAGAAACCCAAGCTGTCCAACCAGGCTATAAGAGAATAGACCTGAACAAATGGCTGAAGGTTACGCCTACCACCGCACTTGAGGATCTCTTGATCAAGCAATATGCTGATCCACAGGCTGCAGCTGAAGCAAGACTCAAGCTTGACAAGCTCAAGCACAGCAAGTGGACCGGCACCATGCACAGTCTGCAGCAGTACGTCAGTAAACTCTTTGCTACTCCGGAACTGGAGATGACTGCGCAGTCTTGCTTGGATGTGATAAAAGGTACTGTCCCCTCTACTCTAAAAGATCGCCTAGGGCTCGGGCTCAGCGGATATACAGATTGGCTTACCCTCAAGCGGGACTTAGTCAAGCTGGAGGCACAAGACCTCCCGGGTGGATCAAGTGGCAAAAAGGCCACTGGCCGCAAACGGTTGCCAGGCAGCAACCGTTTTGCAGCGCATGATCAGCTTGAGGCTGACGAGGAGACCCTCGTGGATGAATCTTCTCTTGATGACGATCAAGAGCAAGACTGCGGGGCATCTTGCTCTTTGTCAGCCCATGAGTCTGAGTTTGTAAATGACGAAGAATCCATGAATGCCTGTAAGAAGACTGCCTTTAAGAGTAAGGGACCCAGGACCACAATGAAGAACAACACTAACACTATTCTTCTTCCCAAGGGGGCAAAGATTCCACCCAAACCGGAAGATCCTGCCACAAAACCATGGGTAGATCTCCGGATCAGTGAAAGCGAGTGGAAACACAGGGTGATAGAAGGGGGTTTGCCTGCATTGCACCAAACCGGGACATTCAGTCCAACAATGCTTCAGGTTGCAGCAGGGAAACCAGCAACGGGGGTAGAGGCATCATGAGCACACTCTACGGATGGAGAGGCTGAACATGTAAGTATCACTATTTTTTCGGATTCTGATCCCACTCAGCAATCATCTCCTGAAACCCCATTTGATGCTGATTCCAAGGTTGAGAAGATCCACATCCTATACAAGGAGCCCTGGGTAGAGTCGAAAGAGATTGACTTTCATGCTCTGTTGACGCGCTGGGCTCACATGAAGCAAGAACGCGCGCAAGGGAGGACGAAGTTGATCTTCTTCAAACTCTACATTAATGGCCATTACATCCGTGCGTTGGCTGATTGTGGTGCAACCGCCAACTACTTCTCACCGCACGGCATTCGTAAGGCACGTTTGGGGATGAAGCAAGTGACTTTGCAGAATCCTTGTCGGACCCAAGTAGGCAACCAAGAGGTTGTCACTTCTACGCATGCAGTCAAAGGTGTGCGCACTACCTTTGACGCTGATCGCACAATTACGCATGAATTGAACTTCTATGTCCTCGATCAGTGCCCCTTCGACGCGGTTATTGGCTTGGGCAGGTTGCAGGCCCAATGTGAAAGAACCACGTGGAAGGACTCACAGTTCATGGTCAAAGATGCCATGGGGATCGAGCGTCCTGTCCTCTTGGATGAGCCGCGCGAGTCCCAAGTGACCTTTCTCAATGCAATGCAATTCTGCAAAAAGTGGCGAAGGCGCAAAACTGATGAGCAAATGTATATAGCCTTTGTTAGGCCTGCTCATGTGCCTTCTATTTTTGTTGTACATAGTGATTCTACTCTGCATGATGTGTCCACCTCGGATGCAACTACTTCTACCTCTACTAAGTCCATCTCTAGTCCAAATGACTCTACTTCTAATCTTGTTGTTTTGGCTGCACTTATACAAACTGACATGCTTGCTCCTGAGAGTGATGATCCCCCTCCGGAAATCCCACCGGAAATTCGCAACCTTCTCAACCGATTTCCTGACGTCTTGGGTGAACCGCATGGAGTCCCCGTGCGTCCGATCCGACACAGGATCGAGTTGATTGAAGGTAGCACTCCTCCAAAGGGTTGTGTCTATCGAATGGGCTCAGGCGAATTGGAGGAGTTGCGAAGGCAGATTGATGAAATGATTGGGAAGGGATCGATCAAGCCGAGTGAGTCAGAGTTTGGTGCACCGGTGTTGTTTGTCCCTAAGAAAGGAGGTAAGTTGCGGATGTGTATTGACTATCGCGGGTTGAATCGGATCACGAGAAAGAATGCATATCCTTTGCCACGTATCGATGATTTGCTTGATGCTGCGGGTGGGTGCAAAGTCTTCAGCAAGATCGATCTCAAGTTTGGCTACCACCAGATCGAAGTCGATCTTGCGGAACAACACAAAACCGCATGCAAAACTCGCGATGGGTTGTATGAGTTTACCGTAATGCCCTTCGGTCTCACGAATGCGCCAGCCACCTTTCAAAGTCTCATGGACAAAGTGTTCCGCCATCAGATTAACTGGTTTGTTGTTGTTTATCTGGATGATATACTGATCTTCAGAAAAATCGATGGAGGAGCACATGAGACACCTTGAGGAAGTGATGCAAACCCTCAAGGACGCGCAGCTCCATCTCAACTTGGAGAAATCTGAGTTTGGGAGGGACAACGTCATCTACCTTGGACATTAGTTGTCTGCTGCAGGCCTAGAGCTTGAGGCAACCAAGGTTGAGGTCATCCAAAAGTGGCCCCAACCTGCGAATGTCCACGAGTTGCGTTCTTTTCTTGGTCTTGCGTCGTACTACCGTAAGTTTGTGCCTAAATTTTCTATCATCGCTCGTCCATTGTCTAGACTAACAAGCAAGAATGTATCCTACGCATGGAATGAAGAATGCACGACAGCCTTTGAAGCATTGAAAGAGGCTTTGGTGAGTCATCCGCTGCTCCGCATTGCAGATCCCAAGCTTACATTCGTAGTAACTACGGATGCGAGTTTGTACGGGATTGGTGCAGTGCTGCAGCAAGATGATGGTGATGGTTTACATCCGCTGGAATACTACAGCAAACGCATGCCCAGCCACAAGGTAGCTGCCTCCACTTACATGAGAGAGCTCTATGCCTTGAGAGAGGCACTAGACCATTGGAAACACTACCTCTTGGGTCGCCATTTCAAAGTGTTATCGGATCATGAGACTTTGAAGTGGATTCAGACACAGATAAACCCATCAACTATGCTGACCCGCTGGCTGCATGAGATTGATGTGTATGATTTTGAACTAAAACACAAGAAAGGAACTCATTGAGCACACTGCCAAGGATCCGGAACTCAGTCCCATCCTTGAGCAGATCCGGGCTGACCCTAGTAGTCAGCCTGATTTCCATGAATGTAAGGGCCTTCTCTTCCGACGCTACGGTAAGCATGACCGGTTGTGTGTACCCAACCATGAGCCAATCATCACTCACTTCTTGGATTTGGCTCATAGCTGGAGTGGACACTTCGGTGTTGAGAAGACATACGGGAATCTGTTGGAAGGGTTTGTGTGGCCTGGAATGAAAAGAATGGCACAAAGGTTTGTGGCTGAGTGCGAAGTTTGTCAGCGCATTAAACCATCTCGGCAGAAGCCCTATGGCCTGCTGCACCCTCTTCCTATCCCTGATGGCCCGGGTGAGTCCATTGACTTCACGGACATGGGGAAGAAGAGCAGAAACGGTTATTCGCAAGTGATGGTGATCATTGATCGGTTTTCGAAATTTCTAAATCTGATTCCCTTGCCACCTCACGCCCCAACTGACCTTGTGATCGATGAGTTCAACAAAAGGTACGTGCTACATTATGGCCCCCCGAAAACTCTCGTGAGTGATCGGGACACCAGGTTCATAAGCGCAGACGGGAAAGATTTCACCTCCCAGACCTACGACACGAAACTCAAGATGACGTCTGGGCGACACCCCGAAGCCAATGGACTGGCTGAGGAAATCAACCAGACCGTGATCCAGCTTCTTAGGGCTCTAATTGTACCTGATCAGAACTCTTTGAATGAGGAGTTGCCGATTGTGCAGGGGTCAGCTGCATCTTGGATGGAAAATCCGCAATCCTCTATCTTATCTGTTTCCTGATCAGCCACCTGGCCTAACACCTGGCCAGCCAGGCTACAGCGCCAAGTTCGATTGCCTACTCAAAGTTGTTGTTGCAGCTATGGAGAGGCGACACAGTGCCATGATTAAACATGCTAACAAGAAGCGCCAGCCTGCACCATTCACAGTGGGAAGTTATGTCTGGGTCAAAATGTCTGAGTTTTCTGAAGAAGAAGGTGTGTCACGAAAGCTTCTTCCTCAGTACTACGGTCCGTGGCAGGTCTTGAACCAGGTATGGAGTGATTCCTTCGGTCCTTCCTACACGATTGATGTGCGTGCACATTTGTGCACATACCCAGTTTTTCATGTTTCGAAATTGTTTCCATATGAACCACCTGAGACGTTCAAGTACCGAGAGTCAATGATTCCCCGCGCAATCAATGGTGGCCTTGAGGTTGATAGGATTGTCGAACACAGTGGGAAGGGAAGAAACAGACAGTACAAAGTTCATTTTCTGTACCATCCGTTGGATGATTTCTATTGGATTGCTAGGAAAGACTTACTGCAGAGTGCACCGCGTGTCGTTAATGCCTATGAATGATTGATAAGTGCTGAACAGCAGCCAAAGTTTACTGCTACCCTGACTCCTACGGAACACGCCCGATCTCTCTTTGCTATCTACGCCTATGATGCACTATGCAAGGACTCTGATTGAGTTACTCGCTCGAAGGGACCTCGCTCTTGAGGGGGGGGTAGTGTAATGACCCGTCATAACACAGACTGAGAATACTGCTGATTTCTGAAGTTCTGCCGATGGAATGGATGCCTTGATGAGATTCCCGCATTCTGCTGTGTTTTCTAAGTCTGTCTGTGTGTGTGCGTGCTTGTGAACTGCATGCCTGTCTGAGTGCTTKTTGGTATGAGTGTGTGTGGGACCCGCAAGGGTACTTGCTTGTTTGGTAGGCCCGTAGGGCCGGTACKTACCTGTGGCCGTGGCATTGAGGGTTGTAGCAGGGAAAACACTCAAGTGGCGAAGCTAGCGGCCCTGAGGCCCTTGGGGTAGCGGAAAAACACTCAAGTAGGCCGGTAGGCCGATACTGCACCCCACTGCAGTTGACGTGAGGGGTACTGGAGGACGAGCAGAAAAAGACAAAGTTGGCATTTTTAGAGTCCAGTAGCGGTAGGGTAGGTCTAGGCYGGTACCAGTCCAACCAGTCTGAGTCTAGAGCCTGTACGGGTAATATCAGGGTCTGCAATGATGTTTCCCTCCGAAACGGAGGAGGTACCGGTTGCTTGGAGAGGCCGGGCGGCCTGGAAGTCACCGCCCAAGAGGCAAGCAGGCCGCTATATCTAGAGGCGGAGGCAAGAGCTCCGCCTCAATTCTTCAGTGTGCGAGTTGGGCGTCACGCTGCTGGAGCGCTGGCTGGAGTAGAGCTGGGCACTACAGCGCTGCTGGGAGGAAGAAGCCGGGAGCTTCCACCTTGGCTATGGTGGAGCTCTACCGGTAGGAGGAGGAGGGAGAAGGGGACCAAGGAGGAGAGTGGCGAGGTACTTACKGGCTATGGTAGACACCATCTTCATCTYCTTGYTAGGCGCTGCATCAGGAAGSCCCCAGTGGGGGTAGTGCCGCATCAMRGAAGCTCGGACAGAGTCAGGCATGGCGGTTGAGTGGGCAGCGGCATAGCTGCTGGGTGATGACCTTGAAGTGGGGCAGCGGTGTAGCTGCTTTGGGGCTCACTGCTCTGAGCCTTGGGAATTGGCCAGCAGATCATTTTCTGGAAACATCATTTTTTTTTTGAGAAATTATTGAAATGAGCCTTGATTGGCTCGCCGCTCGGAGTCTTGTGAACTGGACAGCTAATTATTTTCGGGAAATATCATTTTCGAAGCCTCCGTAGTCCGCCATAGCCTCGGCCTGTATGTGGAGGAAGAAGAAGGGCTGCCATGGCTATGGTGGACCTCATCTTGTGCCTGCAGTAGAAGTGGGATTCAGACATTGATTCTGGTTCAGCTGTTCAACATTATTATTGTTTATTTATTGTTTGAATAAGAGAGGAGGAGATAAAGAGAAGGAGGTTGTTGAGCGAAGAAGAAGAGCTTTGTCTTTGGTCTATGGTGGAGTACATCACCTCTTTCTTCTTTCTTAATTCTTCTTCTTCTTCTTTCCCTCTCTCTCCTCTCAAGTTCTTTCATTTCTTTTGCAATTGGACGGCATTGGGCTCAAGTTCATTCATTTCTTTTCGCAATTGGACAACATTGTACTTTCTGATGATTGTGGACTTCGAAATTGGCCAGGATCGTAACATTGGGATGTTTGCAGCGCTATCGCATGCCTGTAGTATCAGATAGGCAGGGTGCAGATCCCAAGGATCACTATGAAGAAGAACAACAATAACTATGCAGCGGAAGACTGAAATACACACATCTGACTCATCGAACTCAAGTACATCCATCATCATTTGTACACGGGGACGGGTATGGCGGCTTGTGCACAGAAGATAGCGGCCATGCCCTGGATACGTCCACGGACAAAGGAGATGGAGGTAGAGATGAAGAGGGGGAGACTGAAGGGAAGACTGCAACTCAATAGCCCTGCGAAAGAATAGTCTCCACAATAGTCCCTCAAAGTCTCTGTCCAGAACACAATGTCCGAGTCTGGGCAAATAGCCCCAATGGTCACCAAGTCTCAACTCTCTCTCTCTCTCTCTCTCTCTCTCTCTCTCTCTCTCTCTCTCTCTCTCTCAGATGTGTATAAGAGACAGGTGTAGCAGAT